AATCATTTAATATGGGTTTGAGGTGGTCGCTTTAGGTGGAAATATTTGGCCCAAAATGTCAATTTTAGTCTCTTAATTTATCATATTTTTTCAATTACACCCTTACTTTTGGTCCCTCCTATTTTAATCAACTACTTTTAGTCCTTTCATAAGGTCTTTTATAACATCTTTATACGTCCTTAAATTTATTTCAAAACTTATTTAAGAGTTAAAACTTTTAATTTTATAAAATTGGATTTCTAATTTTATGCAATGAGGTCTCTAACCTTATGCAATTAAATCCTTATACATATAATTAATTCTACACACTTTCGAGAAATAATTTTTTTTTGTAATAAATTCAAACACTTCCTATAGAAATTTATTTTTCAATGACATAATTTTTATACATACATTTAAGCACTCAAAATAATTATTTTACATAAAAATATATTATTCATATAGAAAATATTCACCAAGCATAGAAAAATTCACTTAAGTACATGAAATATTCTTACATCCCTTTAACAATTTTTCTATGCTTATAGAATAACTTTCACACACATTTAAAAGACTCGTAGTAATTATTTTGCATAAAAAGTACTGTTCATGCACAAAAAAGCCTATAAAATTGATTAGCATGTCGTACCGTCAACAAATTAGTAAATTATAATTGTTCTTATAGAGCTTTTAATCACGGTTATGTAATCGGTGCAAATAAGGATTGAACCGATAGAAAAAGAGAATCGATTGATTGTTTTAGTTGTTTAAGTGCTATTGCGAGTGTAAAGGGGGTTTATGTGTTGGGATGCTTAAAAACAATAGAAGATAGTAAAGAATAATAATATTAAAGAGGCATTGGTTGAACTTCGGTATCCACTTTTAATTTGATCGTTGATCATTGATTAAATAATTAACTTATCCTAATAGTTATGTAATCAAAGCAAGTAAGGGTTAAACCCATAGGAAAAGGGAATCAATCGATTGTTTTAGTTGTTTGAGTGTTCTTACGAGTGTAAATAAGTGTTTGTGTGTTGGGATGCTTGAAAACAATAGAAGGTAGTAAAGAATAACAATATTAAAGAGGCCTTGGTTGAACTCTACTATCCATTTTTAGTTTGATCACCGATTATTGATTAAATAATTAGCTTTCTTGAACATTAATATTTAATATAAAACAACAACATATATATTGACTCCATTCTTTCCTCGCTTAGTCGTTAGTTGAATATACGATACCTAATTAATTTTCAAGCTATTAAATAACCTACTAAGCACTAGATAGATTTAATACAATAAAAGCATTAAGAAGAGAAAGATAGGTGAAGCTAAACCACCTTCCTAAGCACTAAAGAAAATGTAACATATTCTATGTTTTCCAAGGAATTGAACGAAAATGTGAAAAATAATCATTAACCCCTAGTTACTACCACAAGCAATTACACGAACGTGAATACCTAGCTAGCAATAAGTACTATGAGTAAACAACTAGCATGCATTCTAATCAATTTAATCATATAACTATGAATCAATTATTAAGAAAAACATAAAATACCCAATAAAGATATGTTTAGAAATAAAACTCATAATCTCACAGCGATTAACCAAAAGCTTCAACTTTATTCAACTAATAGTAGAGTTTAGTTGTTCATAATGAATTATAAAGAGAGTTTCTATGAAAGGTGGCTACTAAATATTCAAAGAGAGGAGCCAAATAATATCATAACTTTGCTATTTATACCTAAAACTAGGGTTACATCACGTGTGTGTGTCGCCCCACATGGCCACATGGCTTAATACATAAAGTTACATGGTTTATTGTTTGATATCACACAGTTTGGAGCCTTGGAAACCAAGTGTTACATGACTTGCTAACTAGGGCATACGACGAGTGTGTCTTTGTTCTTCATCTCGTGTTGCCAAGCTTCTACCCATATATATTTCTTCTTCAAGCCATGTTGAATCTCTTTTTTTCGTGTCGACTTGCCTTGCTTAAAGACACGGACATGTGACTTTGCATTACAAACCATGTGTAATACCTTCTATCGAGTGTGGCTTGTGTTTGCTTGAGAATCCACACGGTTTCTCTTTTAAGTCACACGGCTAGTAGCTATTTTCTTTGTCATTTCACACGGCCATGTGACTCTTTTAAGCCTCATTAAATTTTCTCTCTTCCTTGCTTAAACCTTGCTCGATTCGTCGTTTTTCCTATAAAACTCGAACCCTTCATCTTATTCTTAAACAACATAATATTATACAATAATTACTAGAAAGTTTAATGTAATAAAGCATAAAAATCACATTAATTATGCACTCATTAAATACCTCCACACTTAAACTTTGCTAGTTCTCAAGCAAAACAAATAAAATAAAACCTAACTCACTTTCATCGGAATCACGATTGCATCTAGCATATGCAACAAGCTTTTAAACCTTAGGTTACCCCTTAATGGACGAGTTGTGTCTCGTGAGGGTTTTCAGAAGATAAACCCATAAAATTGTTCAAACAAATGTCATGCAAATATGATTGTTCTTCAACATTGATGCTTAATTCAGAATTGAACAAAATTCAACAGATCACTCGATCATGTTCAAGATATTATTATCATATCAATGCATGTCTCTAAATTGATTTATGTATCTTCATAACAAAAAATAATTCATACTTGCAACATCAACTTTACTTTTACTCCTTTTCCACCATAACAAGCAAGTTAATTACTATAATTGATGCATACAACACTTAGGTTAGCCAAATTACTTGGATGGTCCAAATTTATCTAATTTTACATATTAGTCACTTAACTTTAGTACTTAATTCAATTAAATTCCTAAACTTTTAATTATTGGATTAGGTCCCCGCATCATTCACACACTTATAACATTCAACAATATATTCTTGCAAAGCTAAACACCTATAAATAGAAACATGATGCATAATGTCAATGCACACATAAAACAAAATTTTTATTTCAACAAAAAACATGACTTTCACATATTTTAACCAAGGAAATACACACATACAAGTGCTTGAGGATGTTCAAGGTCGTGGGTGCTACATATTGTATTACTTTTTTGACACTTCAAGCTCAATTATATGTTTATGATATCTTATATGTTCTATTTGGTATACATAATTGCTTTAAAATAATATTGATAGGAATAGTCTTATAATAAAGACAACGAAGTTAGACTATTATTATCCTCGTTAAAGATCATATTAAGCTAAAAGTTAGTAGTGAGGTACATAAAAGAGAATGTATTAAGAAAATGACATACAATCTTCATGACTCGCATTAATATTTTAATTTAATAATGATATAATGTTATAGCCAAAGATTATCAATTTTACACATTATGTTCTTTTTATTAATCATAAAAAACAATATCACATCGGTCAAGTGGAATAATATAAAATTAATTATAGCTCACATCATACATGTGGTTAGAATGTAAAATTAATTGTGACTCATATGATATATAATATTTAAAATATATCTAATTAATTATGATATATGATCAAGTTTTGATGGAAGATGGAAGAATTTGGTTAATGCTATAAAAGAACGAGTATGTTTCCCTCTCTACCTCTTAAAGACAATTAAAAGAAATTTGAAGGTATCGTATTTTCCATTATTGAAAAAAGAGATCGAGAGAGAAACTATTTTTCATCTATTATTTGCCTTTCAAGTATTCTTTAAAGTCCGAAAAATCAAAATATGTTTTCTTTTCAAATTTTCATATTATGTGAAAAAAACATGAAGTGCTAAGGTTTTTGAGAATTACAAATTTATATCTTATTGTTATGTATAATTGCAATTATAATTTTCATAATACTCGATAAATTTTATTAATTTGTAAAACTAAACAAAAAAATTACTTTTTAATAAAAAATAATTCAAATTGTGAGAGAGACACTTGCCCACGCCCCTTCAAATTTCTTTTGCCAACTTTCTAATCGATTTTTACAAGTTTAGGGTAAAAAAATAAATATTTTTTTCAAATACTTTTTGCAGATTGAAATTAAAAAAAATATATATCACCATTGCTACTATTATTAAATGAAAGAAATTGTTTTAGGATTCTATTTCGAGCATTATTATTACTTATTACTTTTGTTAATAATAATACAATTGGAAAGGTGGTAGCATTCTTGAAGTTGAAGCCCTCAAGAAATAATGATTTAATAGCATAATTTGTTCTTAAATTATTGAGGTTGTAGTAAAATAAAATTTATACTATTTATTTGAACTAGTTACATACCAAATTATTAATTTTTAAATAGATTTTATTTTTCTTTGTTATAGTCAAAGTGTTAATGATTAACTGAAATACTTCAAATAATTTCATTTTAAGCATTTCAGTTTTTTTTTTAATTAAATCATTTTTTTAAAATAATAGTTAGCTTTAAGAAAAGTTAGATGATTTTGTTATTTATGGATTTGACTTTATTTTAATGTTTATCGATCTAATTTTTATGTTTGATAATTAATGATGTGTAATTAATCCATCTAATTAAAAAAACTAAATTATTAAATTCTTTTTCAAAAGTAATTTTAATTCTCAAAATAAAAAATGAAATGCTTTAAACTACATCATTTTAAGCATTTTAATTAATAATCAATTCTTTGATTGTCAAATATAATGAAAAAAATTAAATTTTATCTTAAAAATTAATAGTCTAAGGTTCAAATCGTTTAATGGATAACATAAACCTTATTTTTTTCACAACCACAATAGTTTAGGGACAAATTATACCCTAAAAATTAAGATCCTAAAAAAATTCCGGACATTTTAGTAATACAAATAAAATATCAGGACAATTTTGAAAATAACAATACAACGCAAAATTGGCAAATAACCTTTAAAAGTTCAAACCAATCAATTAAAGAAGAAAACGTTTCTTGAAGCCTAGGTTATATTGCAGTATAAAACACAGGCTTTGTTTTTCTCAGATATACAACAAACGGAGGACAGTCAGAACTACAATCTCTAACCAAGATCCTTGAATCTTCGAAACAATGGCGAATTCTTGTGTTGATTTCCCTGCAAAAGGTGGATTCAGTTTCGATCTTTGCAAAAGAAATGCTATGTTATCAGATAAGGGTCTTAAGCTTCCTCCGTTTAGAAAAACCGGAACTACCATTGTGGGTTTAGTTTTCCAGGTACTCCAAATTGTTATTTTATTTTATTTTATTTCTGTATGATTTTATGTATACAGATTGTTATGAAGCTGAACCAGGTTACTGGGTTGTCGTTTCTTTGTTTTTTTTTCTTTCTATATTTCAGTCCACTTGATCGATGGAGTTGGAGTTTAGGAATTTTGTGGGGTTATTTTGGGATTGACCCATGTTTTGTTTTGTTTTTCTGTTGAAGGAATTTGTTTTACGGGTAGTGATATCGAGTTTAGTTTACTAATTGAGATTATTGATTTGAGTTTTAATTCATTTTACTAATAGTGTTATCTAATTGCGTGGAAAAGAAAAGGCGGATTAATTAGTTAATTTTCTACGTTTTTGTGTCAATCAGTTTTTTATTTTTTTATTTTAATGAATTCCTTTCTTTTATTTGAGTATAAAAGAAGATGCCCCTGGATTCTTCTTGTAAGAATACATGTACATTAGTGGATCTTTCGCAGTTTTTTGAATAAGCCACTCTGGTGTATCAATGTGTACTTTGCCAGCAGTGGTTTACTTTTTAACTTGTTAGAAAACCTTCTAAACTAAGCTACTTTGCTATCCTTTTAAAAGGAGTTGTAGCATAATGAAATCGAAATAGAAGTATGAAGGATAGTAAGTTTGGGATAGTTATGAAGTCTGTTGACTCTGTTACTGTTATTTGAATTTTGGGACTGCTGAGTTGGGTGATCCATGTTTTGAGAAAGACTTGACATCTTTATGTGGAGGTTGATACCTTTGCAATATATAGACAATCAAATTGTTGCACGATATCTATTCTCATAAATAGATTTATGTATATAATCTTTTCTCTATTTCACAATTTCTACGTAGGATGGGGTCATTCTTGGGGCAGATACGAGAGCAACAGAAGGCCCCATAGTTTGTGATAAGAATTGCGAAAAAATTCACTACATGGCACCAAACATATATTGCTGTGGAGCAGGAACTGCTGCTGATACAGAAGCAGTAACAGGTACTTTTTAGGATATTTTTTAGTGTATTGCTGGATCTTTGTAGAACTTTTTATTTGAAGTGCTGGATGCATTACCATTTACATCTTTTCTCCTTTTTTAATATTACTAAAGCTAATGCAAAGCTATGGTATTTGCGTTTTCGTAGACATGGTCAGCTCACAGCTGCAATTACATCGTTACCATACTGGCCGAGAATCAAGGGTTGTTACAGCACTCACCCTTCTTAAGAAACATCTTTTCAAGTTGAGTTTCTTTTGTTTCAAGCTTGTGTGATTTGCAACGTATCTCTTTATAGTGAGATATAGTCCTGACTTCTTGTTGTTTTGTGTAGCTACCAAGGTTATGTCTCAGCTGCTTTGGTGCTTGGTGGGGTTGATTGCACTGGGCCTCATTTACACACTGTAAGTTTTTCCTACTTAAGAGGCATTTGTTCGAGGATTATTCTTTTGGCTTGTACAATTCTTTGATGTCTTGCCAATGCATGGCTTATTTTGCAGATATATCCCCATGGATCAACTGACACTTTGCCATTTGCTACAATGGGTTCTGGTTCTCTCGCTGCAATGGCTGTTTTTGAATCAAATTACAAAGAAGGCCTTAGTGTGAGTTAGATTTGCTATAGATGGTTTAGATGCTGTAGGTGTGAAGAAATAACAATTTCAATACAGTATTACTCTTAATAATCATCCATAAATACTATTAGTTTGATTTATGAGTTCTGCTTCATTATGTGTTTGTGATTGACAGCATGAGTTTGTTTAAGATTAAACATACTGTAGAAACGATCAAAACCCAAGGAAAATCTAATCTATCCCCTACAATTTGTTACATTCTTGCTTCCCGTTGAGTCCTAACAATTATTTGTTCTTGCAGAGAGATGAAGGAATTAAGCTTGTGAGTGAGGCTATATGCTCTGGCATATTCAATGACTTGGGAAGTGGAAGCAATGTTGATGTTTGTGTTATAACAAAGGTATGTTAATTCAACCAGTCCCCTCCACCATTTATCAAAAGATGTCTTGAGCTCATATTGATGTAAGTTGTCCATTGAAATTTATGGTGGCACAGGGACACAAGGAATACCTAAGGAACCACATGTTGCCAAATCCTCGTACCTATGTCAGTGAACGAGGGTATTCTTTTCCAAAGAAAACTGGTTAGTATCACGAATTCTTTTGCCTTTTTGTAAAGATTCTCCATTTATTACCCAGAGCAGCATCCTTGTATTCAAGACTACACCATCATGCTTATAATAAAACCTGTGTTTATAGAGGAATATTAGGTCTTTACCATTCTCTCTGGAAAATTAAACTCAAGAACCATAACTCATTTTCACTGTCTCACAATCTTTTCTACTCCCAGAAAAGTTAAATTCAAGAGCCATAACTCATTTGCATTGTCTCACAATGTTATCTAGGCACAGTTTCTTTGTGTTCTTTTTCTTGAGTTTATCAATTATCAATGCCTTAATTTTTAAGGTTTTGACTGCATTGTTTACCTTTTTGTGTTCTCTTTCATCCTTTGGAATGTTTCTCATTTATGAAACTAGCATGCTAGGCCTCACCCACCATTTGGTGTTCTAATGAAATTTTATAGATCCCCAAAGGTGGGGTGGTTGGAGAGGGGAGGGAGGGAAAATCCCGACTTGCTCAATGTTGTGCCTTGTTGCTATTTCTTGCGTTCCAAAAGAATTGAAGTACCATAGTTTAGCATGTTTCTAAGTATTAGAGGTTTGATCCACCTTTAGTACAGTGCATCAAAGCTGTGTGGCTGCTACCGAAGTAAATAACACATCAGTTATCTAATCCTTAGAATAGTGTTTTAGACTTCTCAATGTTGCAGTGTCAGCAGGAAGTGTAGTTGAGTCCTGTAATTACCCTTGTTTGTTTGTCTGCTCAAGCAAGATCACGTTGATTGTTTTTTACATTAGCTATTTGGGGGCTAATTTTCTATTTGTCTGGTTACAGAGGTTCTCATGACAAAGATTACTCCGCTGAAGGAGAAAGTGGAAGTGATTGAAGGAGGTGATGCAATGGAAGAGTAAACAATCATAGCAATCAAAACTACAAATGGTTGATATCTTTCAGACTCTGTTATGGTCTTTGTGGCCATTGGGATGGATGTACTTTGAAACCTCAGTGACTTTATATTGAAATGTTCTGGGTTTGGCTTGATGCTAGTCCCACTTCTGGACTATTGAATTGTTAGTTAACTAGTCTTGAGGATTTTAACTGTTTTGTACTAGTGTTTTCAAGTGTTACATTAACTATGCTAGTTAGTAAGGCTCTTTGAATGGAATTTCAACCTCTTCTTCTTCGTATTTTAGTTTTGCCCTTTCATGAGACTACAACTCGGCTGATTAAGTATTGTTGTGACAGCAGAATAATCCCCATTGCCCTGCCTTGTACGATATCTACGCATCTCGAGTATGTTCGCATTAATAACTTGAATCACATGCAATTGGGAAAATAACAGAAAATGATTTCCATGATTCTATTATGTTCTTCAGTGACGTGTGTTTGATACGCATTTCAGAATGTGCAAGTTGCTGAAGATCATATGATACAGATTTTGGAATTTAGAATGTAACCAAAAAATAAATAAATAAATATGAATTGAGAAACTTTTTTATATTCTTTTGTATATTGGTTGTGCTCTGTCATTTGGTGGAACATAAACTCATTAATCACATAATTCCAATTTCAAATTAAGTTGTTACAAGTAAACTACTACTTTTGAGAATAATTAGTATTAACTGATTAGTCAAGTAAAAGAGAGATTAATCAAGGAAGGATTAAGATAAGAGCGGCTGCCATACCGTACGTAACCCAACCATAAGAAGAAAGACACGTCGTGTCGGTACTTTTTAATTTTTGTATAATAACACGTCACACACGCTTCCCTTCAGTTCCTTCCCATCTCATCATCTCTCTCGCCTCGCGTGTTCGCTTCGCTGCTGACTTCTTTGTTTTCTTACACATTAATTAATTAGGTTACTTCACAAGTTTACTTCTATCTCTCTGTCTTTCCGCAAATTCTGAAGAAACCCTCTTTGCTTTTATTTTCTTTTCTGGGACACAACGAAGAGACATGTCTTACGATTACCTCTTCAAGTACATAATCATCGGAGACACAGGTTGGTCCCTCCCTGCCCCTCTCTACTTGCTTTTTCATTTTTTTTTTTAATAAAAATTATTGGGATTTGAACCGATGAATTGGTTCTTTTGAATTTAGGCGTAGGGAAGTCATGCCTGCTCTTGCAATTCACTGACAAAAGATTCCAGCCTGTTCATGATCTCACCATCGGCGTTGAATTCGGAGCTCGCATGGTCACCATCGATGGCCGCCCTATTAAGCTTCAAATTTGGGACACTGTAGGTTATCTCTTTCTTTCTTTCTTTTCTTTATATAATCTTTGAATTTACATTGCTATACTTAACTTTTTTTGTAGATAGGAGTTTTAAAGCAGTATTTTTAGTCACTTGATCATGGCTTTTGCTGATTTTCATTAATCAATTATTTGCTAATTAACTACATTGGCTTGATAAAGAAAATTAATCCTGCTTAAATTATTGATGGGTTTTATTACTTTTAGATATATCTTTGGCTTTTGCAATGTATTTATTATTATCTGACCATTACTTTCTCATTTTTTTGTTGCTGAAATTGTTCCTTCTGCTACACTAACACAGCTACGCTGGATAAAATAAAAATAAATGTTTTAATAATAAATGGAATGTGTTTCTGAGCAAGAACCATGGTTGGTTCATGTTTTAGGCTGGGCAAGAGTCCTTCAGATCGATCACTAGATCTTACTACAGAGGAGCAGCCGGAGCACTTCTGGTTTATGATATTACCAGGTCAGTGTGTGCATATACGGCAGCCATTCTGTGCCTCTTGTCAACATGTATTTGTGTGTGCATGGTTCATTTATTGGTAAATTATCTTTTGGACTAGAACGAGGAACAGGGATTTGATCCTTAAGTTTAAGATTTTTGTGAGTGATCATTTTCTTCATGTAGTATAACGATTTGTGTGTTTGTTGTAAAATATCTTGTATATATTTACAACTTGTTTTCGATAAGTGAAGACTGATGCTATAGGGATGGTAATTGAAGTGTATTTGATTATGCTTGGTAAAGTTATGTGTTGGAAGAGGGGAAAGCTGTACCACGTTGTTTACCTTCTCTTGTGGAGTTTTTACTGTTTTGAGTTATGCATCGACCCTAGTGTATCATCCTATGCAGCTCTGTAGTCCAAATTGTCAGTTTCTTGTTATTCTAACATTAGGGGTTGGGATGCGTGAAGGGTTGCTCTCCAAAATCAACCCTATTTTTGCAAAACTGATTATATTTATACTTGCAGTTAACTCTGTATTTTAACTTTTGAGAGGCCTGCTAGCTCCTATATTTTATTATTACTTTTCAATTCTATTTTCTATTTTAGCATATATAACTTTTGTTCAACTGAATATTGGAAGTTGTGCAGGAGAGAGACGTTTAATCACCTAGCAAGCTGGCTGGAGGATGCTCGGCAGCATGCAAATCCCAACATGTCAATTATGCTTATTGGGAACAAGTGTGATCTTGCTCATCGAAGGGCTGTTACCAAAGAGGAAGGGGAACAGTTTGCAAAAGAAAATGGACTTCTGTTCCTGGAGGCATCTGCAAGAACAGCTCAAAATGTTGAGGAGGTTATGTATCCTAACCCAAGCCTCAGCTTTGTTATTTGTTTGGTTAAACGCGCCCCCCATCTCTCCCATCCACAAACCCCCCACCCCCCCAAAACAAAAATTAGAAGCATACCAACTAATATTATTATAATTTGTCACAGGCCTTCATAGGGACTGCTGGAAAGATCCTTCAGAATATCCAGGAAGGTGTGTTTGATGTATCCAATGAGGTAATCATTTCCAGGCATTGTTTGGAATGGGCGATACCTACTGGGATCATCCACCTATCCTTGCATTTCAAGTTGATGTTTGTTTTATTGATCCCTTCGCTGTTACAAATGCAGTCTTCGGGGATCAAGGTTGGATATGGGCGAGCCCAAGGCCCATCAGGTGCAAGGGATGGAACTGTTGCTCAAAGCGGTGGGTGCTGCGGTTAATTGAAACACAAATAGAACCTGTTTATTTGTTCTTATGGTGCAATTTCATTCTGCATATCTGGATCCCTCTGATGATGAATGTGTTAAAAAACTTTCACGTGGCTGCGACATAACATTTAATGTATATATCCAACATCAGTTCCCTGAAGCGAGTTGATTTTAATGATAGGGATTTAAAGTTCGAGTGATGAAACGTTGCTTTTCATCAACAACCGAAGTATGATTTTGCACGTTCGTTAATTTGACACTTAGGACAGGTGTTCCCATCTTTCTTTCCGTAATTCATGATAGCATCTAACACTTAAGGCCAGTCCCAAGTATGGTGATGCTCAATTTATGTTATAGATTCTCAAGTGCAGCGTCAGTTCAGTTCTTATAACAAAAGGTTTCATTTTTTTTTCCCTTCTTTTCATGCAATGCACAAAATCTCAACTTATTCGTCTAGAAGCATGCCACAATAATGTTCCATGCTATTAGGAAAAAATCTGCACAAATCTCGTCATTTTGCTCTGTTTTAAGCCAGTATAGTTCTTCGTAGCTCTACTTCCAAACATTGTATTCTTATTAATTGGAGATTGATGACTTCCCACCTCATACGGTATGGAAAATTCATCCGAAATCCTCTTCTATCAATATACATCATGAAAACAACAAATTAATGAAAACAAGGCATGTCCGAATTTGTTAAATAACAGCCGAAACTATGGCTGCACATGCATGAAAATGTATCACATGCATATGGGAAGCAAGGCAAAAAATGTTATCCTCATACGCTCCTCATCTTCACATAAAGTGACAAGCTCACAACTCGTACCTATGAACCACCAAATACCTGCATACAGCAGAAAAAAATTAGATCGAAGAAATCGATTAGGTGATGAAAGTTTTTGCCTACAAACAATGACTCACTCCAGCCAAGACATCTTTGGAAAGTTGAGGTTTGCTTCTCTCTGTATTAGCAATTGGTTTTGTTTGCAGGAACTGTCGGAAAACTGTTGGTTTCTGTGCAACAGAAAGTTCAGCTCCTGATTCCTGTTGGATCTTTTGCTTCTATAAATAGAAAAGAAAACCGATGATGTGAAGGAGGTTGGACAATATATGATATCATGGAAAAAAAAATTGGAAAAAATAAAACACACACACACACACACCAGAAAGACCTAAACTACACAGAATGGCACGAAATTCACAAGACTCGGTAATTCGTTAAAGGTATCAAAGCATCAGCATGTACAGAAACTTCTTTCCAATGAAAAAACAAAACTATTCAAAACCATGACCTTTTTTTTATATTTGACATAAGGAGAGAGTTCTACAAGTCAATCAAAATAGGAAATAATAATTATCTGACAAAATTTGAGACTCTCTCTCACGATCACACAAACAGAGGCATATAAATACATGTACTACAACTTCTTTTTCTGTTGCAAATGGCTAGCATGCTGCACTTAAACCCAATCAAGCACATGCCCTCTAGTGCACCTACATTTTCAAGTTCCCCCAAACTGATGGTTCCTGGCTTTCCCATCAGGGATTGCCATGTCAGTGAAAGAAAAGACAACTTGTGGACATTACCAACATAAGGAGCTACGAGGGGTAGCTATAAAAGAGTTTGTTAAGTATTAATTTTGGAATTCATAAGTTATCACAGAAGCACGTATTAGGGATTACAATAATGTTAAGTGTTCATTGAGGAATTCATAATAGTTGATCATGTAAGCAGCATATTCAATTGCAGGTTCAACACATATGGATGTAAAATACAGATTTGAAAAACATCACACAAATAAAATACAAACATGTCTGCTCATGACCACCCTCCGACAACAGTGCTCCCCCTGTCCTCCTATTCCTCTTATTTCTTCCTTCTAACCGAAGAGAACTACCTACTTTTAATCCATTTTTAAAGACATACTAATTTCAACCATATAGAAAAGAGCTGATACATGGCCATCATGTCTGAGTTGTGTCCACATCCTATATCATCATGAAATTGTCCGTGCTACTGAGGCAAAGAGGCTAACTCTTACAAAACAAGAAGAACCTACTCGATCAAATGTAAGAATGATTCGCTTGCCTCTCTAAAGGTACAAAAATTGAATTGCGAGTTTCAATTGCCAACTAACAAATTTCAAATTCACAACCAAATTATATGGCTTCAACTGATTTTAAGCTAGCCATACTGCCCAGCTATTGTGCCAGACATACTTAAACCGGTCTAGAAGGGACTTGAGCATTATAGTCCTGACACAGAGTCCGAAAAGCCAGGGTTCAATTCCTTAAACAAGTACAAGCATTCTAGTCCTTACACAGAGTCCGGAAAGACAGGGTTCATTTCCTTAAACAAGTATGAGAATTCTAGTCCTTACACAGCGTCCGGAAAGACAGGGTTAAATTCCTTAAGCAAATACATAAAATTGATGACTTTAGCAATGCCAAAATATCTTAGAAGGCACCAAAGAAGGTAATTCCATTTAAAAAAAAAAAAAAAAGGGAGAAGTTATAGATGCCGTTTACCTTCTTCATTCGTTCTTCAATAGAACTTAAAGCACGAGACTTGTCAACTTTTTTCAGATAGAAATCCCGCTCCCTCTTTGCAGCAGAAATTTCTAAAGCTAATTTTTGTTCTCGAATAGCTTTCTTGTAGGCTGCATTTAAAGCACTATAATTTAGACACTTGATGAGCTGTAAAACATGATAATATAGAGCACAGCATAAAATAGTCATTTACCAATTTCATCTGTAAGATTATCCCATTTGAATTTACTGAGATACTTGATATTCCAATGGTCATAATAGAATTGCGAACGCTTCCTACCACCTAAACATTGTAAAAAAGAAAAAGAGAAAAATAAGCAGTAAGATGCAAAAAATATGTAATCCACAAAGCAATCACAGAACAAATAAGCTAACCCATTTTCTCTTGTTTAAAAGATAAGACATAAAGAATTGGTAAAAGTGATTTCAGCAAAATAAAATCTATACAAAGAACAAGAACTCAAAATGTTTCCTCAACAATTTCTCCACAGAACAGACTAAAAATTCTCATTCAACTCAAAACAACATAAGTTACACGAAAAAATTAAAATAAATAAATAATAATAATAATAAATAAATAACAATTGAATAATAATTTACCTATTTGTTCACCATTTAACAAATTAGCAACCCTTTTAGCATTACTTTTACTAGCAAACTCAACCCACCTGAAAAAATAATAATAATAATAATAAATAAATAACAAAAAAACAAAGCAAATACCATCATAAACAACAGAATTCAGACATATTTTCTTGTAATTAATAAAAAATTACCCTTCAGAGTATCCTTGAGCTTTAACTCCACCACCTCTTTTTCTATTCTTATTATTATCATTCACTTGATCAGTAGAAGAACCATCTGCAAATACACAGCAAAAAAACATCTCAATAAAATCGAAAACCCATTTTCTGCTTCCTTATTTTTAAATATAAACAAAAGTGTTGGATATTGTACTTAGAGGAACGAGGTAAATTCGATGAATTTCACCGTGCTGAGAGAGAAGTTGACGAAGCTTAACGTGATCCATGCGAGGAGGAATTCTGCTTATGTAACAAACACCACGCTTCTGAGCCTGTGCTGCTTCTTTCTTTAACTTTTTCTTCTTTCCATCCTCTAAAAACAACACTCGTTCTTGTTCTTCTTGTTCCTCACTCATTCTTTTCCACCAAACAAATTCTAAAATCAAAACGAAAAAGAACGAAGACAAAACAAACAAACAAAAAAAAATACCTATAAGAAAATATGCAATAACAACCTTCTTTCCTTAGTATTTCAAGTTTGTGTTAACTATAAACCTCACGAGGTTTTTTCTTTCTTTCGTAATGGTGATTTTCGATTGAAGAACGCAAGAGGAAGGATTTTCTTTTCCCTAGCTGCGGCAACCAGTGATAGAAGAATAAGGAGGAGGAGGAGGACGAGAGACCCAGAGGGTTTGAGTAGTTCTGCTTCCCATTTAGGTTTCTTAGACGTTCAAAACGACGCAGTGTTGAGTTAAAGAAAGTAACATCATTTTAAAATGGCCCTTTTAGTTTCTAAACGACGCAGTTCTGCCTCCAATTTAGGTTCAGACCCGTTCCCCCGAGTCGTGAGTCGCCAGTTTACATCAAAAACTCGCCGGTTTCATCCGGTTCAGTTCGAATGCTTTGCGGTTTTTATCAAAACCAGACTGGTTAGGTGTCCGATCCATCAGTCAAAGCGGCCAATCTGGTCTGGTTCTAATAACATTACCTAAAACCAGAGAAATAATAAAATGAAAGAATGAAGAGCAAGAACGGAAATTGATTCATCGGCTAACCGGGTCTGGCAAAATAAGATTTATATTATTAATTTAAGTTATTTAAATCTTAAATTATTAATTTTTGAATAAATTTTATCATTTTTTTTATTATATCTTGTGATTAACGCGTTGACTGTTAACTAAAATATTTACAATGACAGTTTTAAACATTTTTGCTAAAATAAGATGAAAGTTGTTCTCTTTTTGAAATGGGAGGAGACATTTCAGCTAGAATGACCGGAACGGTACATAATTAGCAAACTAAACCCCACTCTGATGAAACCAAAGGGTCTTTCTCAGAAACATTGCTTAGGCACGACATTTCAGCTAGAATGACCATTAATAAAACCACATTTCAAAAGTTAAAATTGAATTATCACCATCTGAGTTGTTTGCTGTTAACTTCGAAATTAATAAATGCTCCACGGCACGATAAATACATAAAAAAAAAAAAAAACGTTATCCTATCCAATGCAGAAGTTGAGCATGGCAAATTTCAAGAAAAAAGGATGCATTACAACAGATAGCCTTGTGCAGCCAAAGGGTCCAACCAATTTCACATTCTATCCTCTCTCCTACGAGGGGCACAAGTGATGATTTCGTCCACTCTAAGAATCATCTCAGCAGCTTCAGTTGCAGAGAGCAGTACGGCCTGCTTAACTTTGAATGCTTCAGAAATCCCACGCTCAAACATATCTCCTATCTGCAAAGGTTTAAAGATGCCAGAAATCAACAAACTGGGCCAACAGGATTGATTGGATTTGAAACTATTACTTAATACTCAGCTAGCCAGTTGACAACAGCTGCTGATATTAGTATCTTAAAACTTGCATTTTACTGAAGTCCTCGATCATAGTACTTACAGATCCAGAAATGACATCAATTCCTGCAGTGCAACCCTCCTTGTGATGCTCGGCACGGAGCTCTGCTACCAACTCTGCACTGTCCAAACCAGCATTGTCTGCAATGATAGTTGGAATTGCAATGAGTGCTCTTGAGAAAGCTTCGATAGCATGAGACTTCTTCCCAGGAGTTATTCGGGCCAATTCATCAACTTCCTTTGCCATCACCATCTCAGGCCATCCGCCTCCAAGCAAAACCCTGCTGTCATTAACAGTCTGAGACAGCACACACAAGGCATCATGCAGGGATCTTTCTGCCTCGTCGAGCACATGACGGCTGCAAAAAAACAAAAACACATCAAAAGGTGACATCTGAAGTAAAGTTACAATTGAAATAAACCTCAGTTCCAAAGTTTTTTGAGACCATCAGACTCAATCAGATCATTCACAAACACAAACCAAAATAGAGTTTCATTAACCCACCTTGCTAAATAACCAGGTGACAGGACAACGCAATCAATACACAAAGTGCAAACATTTGGTCTAAACCCTTAAAGACCTAAAAACTGAACATATGTATCAGCAATAATGGCTTTATTATATACACTGGAGAAACACAATACCTTGCACCTCTCAGTACTATTGTACATGCCTGACCCATTTCAACACCTGAAAAGTGAATCAACTTATCCTCACCAATCATAATTTCCTCGATGAGCTCGCAGTGACCAAGCTTAACTGACTCGGGATTATCAAATGTTGATGCAATTTCACCACCAGTCACTAAAGCCAGCCGTTCAATTCCATCAAAATCAGCATGCTCAATTGCAAGCACTCCAGCATTTGCAAAGAGTTCTTCAGGGAAATTGTAAATCAATTGCCTATTAACAAAGCAGTTAATCCCATGGGCTATTATTTTATCCACCTTCTCTTTCATCTTTTCCTTCTCAGCTGCTTCAATTTCAGCAACCTTAGACATTGAATCAACACGAACACGTGCACCATAGATTTTCACTTTGTCAGTGTCCATTGCAGTATTTGCCACCAAAATCTTTGCATTCTCTAAGCGCTTTGGTTGTCCAACACCAATTTTCTTGTCTAGAATAAATCTGAACGAGTGCAAGAATAATTTAAATATTAGTGAAAAACCTATCAGATGTCAATGCATCAGTAAAGATAAAAGGAAGGACAAGACAGCCAATGTTTGCTAACTAAATGAGAACTTGCAACTTGCTTTCCTCAATCTATTAGGACTAACATTAGCAAACACAAATATATGGATCTAAATGCAGCAGTTACAACACAACTTGCACAGAACTTCTGAAGTACGACAGTGCAAGAATGCTTATCGTAGCACTAAAGAAAGGAAAGGAAAATCAAGATGCAAAACACTTGAAATGGCTACTCATTTCTCATCAAAGGCCAAAAGATATGCACCACACAGTGGAAACTTCAAAAACATGAAAAGGTTTTTATAAATTGATGTACCTACCCTTCATCTAAGAAGGAATCCCTCAGTGATCCTCCAGGCTTCTTGATAATCTGAATGGACTCTAAGTTTGTGCTTCCCTGCAATTTCAAACAGCAATTATAAGGTAAAACCAACAAGGAAAAGAATACCCTTAACATCTGACCCCCAATAATAAACATTTTCTCTGAACAATTGAAACAAAATCATGGCATTAAGAATGCATCCTTGAAGGCGAAGAAAAAAGAAGAAATTAGGGGACCAACATAGAAATGGTATCAGGAAAGTAGGAAATACAGACAACAAAGAGGCACACCATGCACAATGATAGAACAACAAGAAAATACGGCCCATGGTACAGATGTCACTGCTGGAAAGACAAAAAGAACCCAACCTCATAAACAAAAATACAACAGTGGTCATCCTCTAACTCCAACTAAATGGTAATAGCTTCCGAAGGATGGAACCAAAATTGTGACAACCTTAAGATTCACAATAAATCACCCCACGCCCTTCCCCAAAAATAAACCAAATCAATAAAATAACAAGAAAAATCACTGGTAAGGTATAATATAAAGCCACCGTTCACCTTCAATCTCATAACAGCATCAACGGCCAGTTTTGCAAAATATTCCTTATCCTGTGATAGAATTTTAGAACTCAAAGTAGTCATTGCAATCTTCATCAAGTCCAACTTGAATTTCTCTGCATTACTCAACAATTATAGAGACATCAATGTCAGACATGTATGCTATAAAAAACACTATAAAAAGCTAATTAGCACAAAATCAAGTTCTACATAGATTCTGCAATTCATAATGATACTGCAATTGATACCTTCATCCTCTTTGTTATCCACAACCTTTTGCAACAAAGCATTACGAGCACATTCTGCCGCCATTCGGAAACCTGAAGAACCAAGGAAATGGTATCAATAACCATCCAATTAAATAAAAGTTACAAGTTTCAAATTCACCATGATTACTTTAATATTTGGTCTCCAAGTTTTTTTTTTAAATAAAAAATAAAACAAGGTATGACTGACAATTTCCAAAGTGGGCAAAAAAAAAAAAAAAAAAATCTCTCGCACTTTTATTGGCAAACTTGTCCGAAATTACATAAAAGAATGTGGGGATCACAGGAAATTCCTCTACCAAGGTTATAGATACAGGAAGTTGATGCAAGATCCAATATCCAGACTATAGTTTAGCAAGAAAAGTTAAAACAGAAGATGGAGCACCATATACATAATGCAAATAAGTGCTGCACATGACATAATAGCAAACATTATTTCAGATTTTCAGAAAAAAAGAAAAAACAGTGCACATGAAGCATTAACAATAACAACAGGTCAGAGCAAGGAGTAGGGGAGAAACAGGAAGCACTGCAAAGCCAGAAGCATAAAATAGACCTGCTATTATTGTCATTGGATGAATCTTTGATGCTAAAAGCTTTTCTGCCTCCCTTAGAAGTTCCCCCGCCAAAACAACAACAGAAGTTGTCCCATCACCAACCTCGTCGTCTTGAACTTTAGAAATGTCTGAGTCATGAGTTAAGGATTTCCATAACATATTCCACTAGAGCTATTACCTTACTTATGTTGATCGTGCACAAAAATTTGCTGGTATGGCTAACTTTTAAAGTTCATGAGAGATGACTCTGCCCATGCTAGCAGGATATTTCAAAATAAATAACCAGCACCCTTTTTCAATGAAGATTTCCTCTGCAAAATCCTTAAGCTTTAACAATCCTAAACAGCAAATTAACAAGCCATAATAGCAATGCAAGGATACCAACAAGGATTTTAGCAGCTGGATTGTCAATGTGAAGGGACTTCAAGATGGTGGCCCCATCATTAGTGACAGTGACTTCATGGCCTCTGCCGGTAGATTGTAAAATTTTATCCTGGCAAAAAAAATGAAAAAAACAAGAAAATGATAACTGCCATAAACTAAAACAAGCAATGCTTTTCAATTTTGATAACACACTCAATAAAGAAAAACCTCACCATTCCTTTTGGTCCCAAAGTTGTCTTGACCAAGTCAGCAATTGCCATACCACCAATAAGCGATGCCTAAGGGGGAAAAAAACACGACTCAGGCAGATATGAAAAAAAGGGGAAAAAAAAGGGGATAAAAGCACTGCCAAGTTACCCATTGTTTCAATTCTAAGAATTATAGACCGACAACCAAATGGCATGATAACAATAACAACACAGCAATGAAACTAAAAAGTTCCTACCACACAAAACTTCCTTGCAAACTCCTCCAATACATTAATGCATGCATCAACATCCATGAAGAAACATAAACCAGAACCGAAAAAAAAAAAAAAAACAGCAATATACCAATCTGGCGCGCTCTCCTTTTTCCTCGTTAGCTTCATCTTTAAAAATGTTCTCGACCTGCAATGTTTTCCAAGTAAATCAACTTCAAAAACAAAATTCCAAAACTAAAAAAAGCGATGGGAAGCAGTAATCAGCAACCAGCATACCGCCATTGTAAAGTTTAAAACTAGAGGCAGCCGGATTATCCACCCCCATTATTTAAATCCATGCATAAACCATAAAAATTCTATAAAAAAAAAACTTCAAATCCATGCATTAAATTGAAAACTGAAATGTTTATGGAGTGCATTTAACATGGTTAAAAAGAAAAAGGATGGCCACACTCAATGCTGTTGTATAAGGAAATGGAAGCTTTCTTTGGAAAACAACTTAGCTACAAATAAATGAAAATTGGGTTCTCAATGCTGGCCTAGCCTAGCCAAATGTTCTTTTGGGTTTGACACACTGGACAAGGATCAGTAAAAATAAAAACTCCTCACCATGACTAAAGGCTTGTTCCTAGTGGTGGATCGGAGATCGCCTGTGACTACTGCTGCTAGAGTAGCAGAGGTTGGAGGGCGGAAAAGACCGAGGAGGCGGCTGTAAATGAGTGAATAGAAGACGAGAAAGAATGTCTCGAGTTTTTCTTTTTCCTGCTCGACAAATGAGAATGTCTCGTCTCACTTTGGCCTTTGGTTGATGGCGCGTTAGGGTTTCTTAAAAAAATAGTACTCTTTACCAAGTTTAATTATTTTTAAACCATTTTTTTGTGGCAAAAATTAATTAAAACTCTTCAACGATAAGTTCTTTTTGTTTATGTTTTTTCAATTCACAAGTAGCTTAAACTTATTTACATTGCAAAAAAGGTTTATTGCTAAAACCACCCTATAAACTTTTGATAAAATCCAATTTAATCCTTAATTTTTTATTTTTTTTATTTTAATACTTTGAATCATCGGATCAAAGCAATTAACTAACTTCATTAGGCTTCCTAAATAATGTATCCTATTTCATTTCGATTTTAGTGCTTTAAGATCAAGAAATCATTTTATTAATTATCCTATAAGTTATTTTCCCATCGGATCTTAAAAACAATGATAACAATGTGAATTTTACTCATTACGAGTTTCAAGATGAGATTAATAATGTTTCAACTAACATTTTAAGATAGCTACAATTACTTCAAGCAATTGGTTACTTTTTTTTTTTTTAATCACACAAAATAAAAAAAGTAATTCTAAGAGAAAAAAAAAAAAGGACTAGAGTAATTGTTTTATGGAAGAAAAAAAACCCTATCTTTTCCATCATACCAATTTAACTTCTTTTTCACCATTAAATACCAAATGATGATGTTGTGTGATCGATGATTAATGAAGCGCAACTCGTCATCTAAACGGACTAATAAACAACAAATTATTACCATGATATAGTAAAGCCACGCTATTTGTTTAATTTTAGGTGTGTTAAAAAATATAAAAATATTTAGGTTGTAAATTTTATCTTAATATATGAATTTTCATTTCTAGAAGACGGTGGTTGTCACTACCGTAACTAACAGCTTCACAAGACTATCCCCTACACAACAGAGTGGTCCACGTGTTGATTGGTGATCGGGCAGGCGACAAAGACTTCTAACAGTAAGCAAGGAAAATTCTTTCGTTTTCACATCAAGGGCAATTCTATCATTTTTCAAAAATATGAGTATTTTTGTCATTTTTCAGCAATATCCCGATAGAATTTTGGTCACTTTTTAGTACTATTTGGTTTGTTTTTCTTACCTTTTACTATTATTTATTTTGTTGTTTTGTGATAATTATTTAATTTTAGGTGTTTTTTTTTAGATCTCTTATGATCCACGGTTTGTAATTATTTTTCTTTACTATTTTTCCGCCAAATCAAACCACGTAAAAGCCAAAACGGAGCTCCAATATGTCCTAGAGGTATTTTGGTTTGATTTAGAGCCTTGGAAACCATTAAATTCGATCAAATTTGATTAGAGAAGAAGGAGGAGACCGATCGAAACTTGTCGACCATCGATCTCTTTCATCGAGCAACGGTGGTCGTCATCGTTAGAACTAATAGATTCATACGACTGTCCCCTACATGACAGAGTGGTCCACGTGTCGATTGGTGATTGGATGGGCAACAACGACATTTGACAATGACCAAGGAAAATTCTTTTGTTTTCACATCAAGGGCGATTCTATCATTTTTTTTAAATATGGGTATTTTTGTCATTTTTAGCAACATTCCAAGAGAATTTTGATCACTCTTTAGTACCATTTGATTTGTTTTTCTTACCTTTTTTTATTATTTATTATGTTGTTTTGTGATAATTATTTAATTTTAGGTGTGTAAGAAAATAAAACAATATTTAGGTTGTAAAAATCTTAATATGTGGATTTTCATTTACTTATGATGTCAAGCCCACGGGTATCCTATTTATTTGAGATAGACGGTGGTTTCGATATATTTTATCCAACTCTAAAAAATACCACACAAAAAAATAAAAATGATTAAAAAAATAGAGAAAATGCTAAGTTAATTTAACAAGTTTCTTATCCGATAGAGATTGATGTTATTAATTAAATCAAATCAATCACTTTTAGTAATTAGATCATTCTCCGATATATCGATTATATCAAAATTTAAATCAAATTTGATATTAAATTGACGAAACTCTTGATGACAAAATATTACAATTGATTCAATATGATGTCACAAAAAAAAAAAAAAAACTTAAGTAATAAAGTTGAAAATTAACTCAAAAATATTTTGATAAAAATAAAATTTTGAAGAAATAAACTGTTAGGATTGGACAACTCCTTACCCTTAGATCTTAAACCAGAGTGGTTTTTTTTTTTTTTTTTTAGATTTTCTAGTTCTTTTAATATTAGGTGATAAATTCCAAAACATAATAAAGCTAAATGGGTTAAATCTTTCTGAATTTTAACTCATTTGAAATTGAGCCTTTAATCTTCAAATTTAATTTTTAGAATTCTTGATTTTTTGAGAAATTAGTCCATCCTTTCAATTTTTTTTTATCTTTTATCCTAAAAAAAAATGATTACATAAAAAATTTCATGATGTTTAGTGAGATTTATACGGGACTCTTCAAAAAAATTTGAATTATTTAGAATTATTTTTTACATTTTTAATTTTTTTAAAAATAAATAAATATACTTTTCAATTTTGAAAAATTATGATATTTTTCAGAAAAAAAAATAGATTAAATTTTTTTCAACGTTTATGCAAAATTTCAATTCAAAATACCAAGAATTGAATTTTTAAGAGAGAAAGATGAATGAATGACAGTTAAAAATTATTAGACCGATTAAATCTAAAAAAATAAAGAATTCAAAAACTTAAATTTAAAGTCAAAAGAGTCAATTTCAAATGAGTTGAATTTAAAGCTCTTCATTTTCTTTCTATCATTGGACACAACCTCTCTTTTTCACCTAACCTGTCACTGTAAAAATGAGCGATTTTATTTTTTTAAATAAAAATAAAAATAAATAAAACAATTTTTAAAAGGTGTCTTTAAAAGTCCCTTAAACATCATATGGCAACACTCACCATGACTCAAGGCTTGTTCCTAGTGGTGGATCGGAGATCTCCTGTGGCTGCTGGTGCTACTGGAGCGATTGCTGCTGCTGGAGAAAAAAACCTTATCTTTTCCATCGTACCAATTTAACTTCTTTTTGACCAATAAATACCAAATGACGATGTTGTGTGATCTATGATTAATGAAACGCAAGCCTCATTTACGCTAAATAATAAATTGCAAATTATTACCATGATATGGTAGAGCCACGCTATGTTGATTCTATGTATTTCTCCTGTACTTGAACCTCACAGAAAGAAAAATACAACCACAGCTGGAAGAACCGAGTGCCTCTGATGGCCGGAAATCAGTAACTGGGCATCAAAACTTTCAGGCTACATGGCTCATGTAACATTACAGCTTTATAGACGATAGATACTCTCTAAAGTTATATATGTCCATTTAAAAAGGCATTCTTTGGTTGCAACAAAAATATTCAATAAAACAAGCCCTGCAGGGTATCAGTTTTGCTGTCTTAGAGGTCCAAATCTTGGGCGTATCTTATCATAAGTACTAGAAACCAGCAACAGTCTGGGATCCTCTTCAGGAACTAAGCGTGCCTGCCGCTCAAAGAAAAGAAGGAAAAGCGTTAAGTAGCAACAAGAATCTAAGGAATTTTACAGATCAATGTGAAGTGATTGCATCTATAAAATAGGTCATAGAACCAACAGGATGTTGCAAAACCACCTGATGAACATTCCTAAATTACTTTAAAGAACAACACATATGTTTTGCAGTTTCATTCTTCCAACTCCAACTTTCAATGCTCATGAAAAGACACTGGAATCTGCCTATAGAAATGACAGGACTATATGTGCAGCATATAGTAAACAGGGTGCATGATGAGAATTTGCAATGACCACCAAACATTTATTGGACTTGTATGAACTTTACGTAATATTTGCAGCTTCATTCACTGAAAATGACCCAAGAGTCTTTTGTTGGGACATTTGTCTGAAAAAATATTTGACGGTTCCTGAAGAAACAAGTCTCCACAACGGAGAAAACTGGGAAAATGTTTAAGAGTGCAAGGAAAAATCTTCAGTTGATATTAGGTAAAATAGTAATATGTTATCTGATGAGATCTGCCACCTTCATGCATATAAATGATAACTTCCAATTTATCAGGGAAGAAAAACATCGCGAGTGTTCTGTAAACTCTATGCTGCTTAAGCTCGTAGATTTTTTTTACTCACACAACCTGCAAGGATAAATTCTTAAAGAGTCATCCTCACCGATGTCCTGTCAATTTAAAGACCCAACTCTGCTCTAACCCAAGCTCATTGCAGATGGCTTTTTCTGCATTTCTTTAACCTATTAGTGTCATTTGAAAAATCTATATCCTATTTCTCTGCATGTCTTTTTAACCTAATAGTTTCACCATCAATATGGGAAGGTGTAGTTGAATGAAGCTACAGACAAATAAAAAAAGAGGTGTAACAACAAGCTTGAATAAACAGCAGACCATTGTAAAATCCTTCAGTGCATTGTGAAGCAAAGAAGACTCACTTTTAACCCATTGTAATATGCTTCCACCACAGGAAACCAAGGTGTTATATTCCGAGCTTGCATCAGGTCCCATAAATAATTGGCAGTTGTATATCCACCTTTCTGTAATTTGATCATAAAATGATGAGATATACAGCTCAACAACATATAAATATTTCTAGCTAACTATTAATGACATGAATGCTGCCTTGTGAAGAATAGGGTAGCATAATTATTACCTTATCACCAGCTGCTATGAGGAGGAGATCATTTGCCATTTTTGGATTCAAGAAGAAGTTTTCTGCGTCATTTCTTCCTGCATTGTTCAAGAATCTATTGAAGGCACAATGATGATACAATCAGAAACACAACATAGAACCATAAACTAACCGTACCAGCTTGTCTAAAGCAATTTGCATCCCCCTTGGAGTATGCCCTACCATGGCTCCCTCTACAAGTGCCTATGAGAAGTTCAAGCAGGTTTAAGGTTTGTGCTGTCATGATCAGCTTAGTTGCACCAATATAGAAAATAAATCGATTCTCCACACAACAGTAGCAGATGTAAACGAGTTAAACTAGTAAATATGAAACAAAAGGCTGCTAGTCAGAGAGAGGGAAAAAAAGGTCCAAACAAATGCAAAAAAATTGAAGAGAATTTCCGAATAACAAATTTTTGGTCGCATTTCATATGTTATCACATTGTTCCCAGTAAAGGAAGGTTAATTGTAAACTCAATCTATGATATTACGAATGAAGCTATCCTTTCTGGATATGTTAAGAAAAAAATCAAAAAAATGTGCAGGCTCACAAAACCGATGTAATGGAAAAAGGCAAATTATAAGATAAATCAAGTAATACTTTTGTATGTACTGCTATGAAGAACGCATAATAGGTGTGGACCCCCTTGCCATCATCAGTAGCAGAAAAATCGTGATTTTGTGAATGGATGAATATGTTGCAGTTTAATGCATTGAGAGGTAATCTCAGTTCAAATAAGAAATGGGTTCAGCTCAAAGCCAGAAATAACAGCAAGTTAGCAGTCCCCTATAGGTAAGCAATGTGCCCATCTTTTTATAAAAATAAAAAAGCCTTGTTCTCTCGCATAATAAAAATAGCATTCAGGGAAGACTTTGTCGATTTAGCATGTACAGAAGAAAAAAGAAATCTGCAATCAGGAAAAGTAATGCCTCCTCCCTATCTCTCTTCCACAAACAAATCAAGGCCTCTGCCTTCTCCTTTCTCCCTCTCTTTATCTAATGAACTGTTAAACACCATCAAATTTCTCCATTTCACTAACAAGCAATATGTTAAAGTTCTTGTTCAGATCTTAAAAAAAAAATTGTCACTAGCTGTTTGAGAAGCAAGAAACCCACGTTAGGAAAAACTGATCATATAATGATTTGTGAAGAAGAAAAGATTCATCATAATCCGTGTCGTGAAGAGCTGAATCACACCATTCTTCGTGTAACAAACATGAATTTCCGTGGAAAATAGCTCCAGATCCAATAAGCTATGCCTTTCCACTTCTATCTGTTGGGAAATTAAAAGGCATGATTCTAAAGTCCCAATTGAGAAAAAAAGAGGGCATTCAAGGTGAAGTGTTTACCGGTGATTTTATTTTATTGAGAATTTTTTATAGATGATTGATACACAGAGATAGATCAATAAGAAAAGAGTGTACTGACATATATACCCCTGAAAGTTTTTGTAAAATAGAGGGCAGGTAACCAGACCAAATGTGCGGGTTAGCATATCTCGGTATACATAATCTTGAGAATATTAAAGAACGCATTTATTTTTCAAGTAAGATCAACTCTGCTGCTGAAGCAGAAGCAAGGACATGATTCTCAGATGGAAGATATATGTGAAAATTTTTATAAAATAGAGGGCAGGTAACCTGCCCAAATGCTGAACGCATTTATGTTCTAGAATTTCTGTTCAATACCTCTAGAACCTACTTATCCATAAACCTGGATGAGAGAGAGCTGGTTTTTCCAACAGCAAAGTGACATGCAATACCAGACTTCAGTATTGCAGCAAACTGATATGTATACAAATCACAGATATGGCAGTTGTTACAAAACTCACCACATATAGTTCTATGTAAATACGCTTCTTGGAATTCATGTAATCATCATAAATTTGAAGACCGCGATCAAGGTCTCCAGAATGTAGATAGCACCTAGAAAAAAATGGATTTAGGACACTTAAAAGTTTCTCTCAAATGAACAATTGAAAAACAAAAATAATAAAAAACAAAAAAAAGGTTTCAAGTTCAAGGCATTGACTTAATTGATGCACAACCAATGCTTAAAAAAGAAGGAAAAAAGAAGAAGAGGAAAATAGGAAAAGGAAACTGTTCTGCACAACATGTGGACTGGCAGGACAGCCTCCAATTCAATGGGTAGTTAGCAAGGGCAATTCCCTTATTATGTCCTCTACAATCCAAAATCATCGTTCGAACATGCACAGATATTTACCCAAGTCATTCTTTCTTGTTCTCCGATTGTCCATGCAATGCCATGTATTAGAACCTTAAAGTCCTATTCTACATTGCTACAGACATAATAAGAATCCCAACCAATATATTCAGTCTCTTGCATCTGGTTACACAACTAACATTAAAAACTCCATCCAAATTGCTTTCAAAGCTCTTAGAACTTCCCATTTCCGGTTGGACATCCCTCAACTATTTCTCATTTGAAATTGGGTCCTTCTGTTAAGTTTTCATCAATTCTAACGTGTAAGTGCAATTCGTCAACAGCTAAAAACGTGCCAAAACTTAATAGATGCTTGGCTTTTTCCTCCAAAACTTGTTTCTTCTTAAGAAACAAGTTTTGAAGGGAAAAGCAAAGCATCCATAAGTTTTGGCACATTTTTAACAGTTAGGAAAGTTAAAAAGTCAATCACATGCAAATCCCGTATACTTCTAACATTAGAATTGATGAAAACCTAATAGAATGATCCAGTTTCAAATGAAAAACAATTGAAGGGAGGTCCAACACAAAAATAAAAGTTGAGGGACTGATTCTCAAATCACTTTAAGTTCAAAGGAGGTTTGGACCATTTAGCCTTAATTAAATTAAAAGCAAGAAAGCATCTTTAAGAAGAGAAAAGAAGAAAGAAAGAAAGAAAGAATTACAGCAAAATTTTAATCCAACTTTGAACAGCAAACCTAAAAGAGGCAAGTTTGATCATTTTTTTCTTTTCTATTTACGCTCTGTTCAGATTAATTTTGTTTATGGAAATTAAATTTCACAAAGTCAACTCAAACCAATGAAAATTGTAAAGCAAATGACTGGAGTTGAAACAAATAATGAACTTTTGACTCACAAAGTATAGAGATGGATCTAAAAACAGACATGTGATAAAAGGCATGGTACAAAATATAGTTAACCCTCAACAATACTCCTCAATACTAATTATAATGATGGTGTGCGTTTCTATCCACCAAAGCTTGCAATCATGTAGGCATATCTTCAAGCCTTACAAAGGAATTTATTTTGAAATTGATGTTGATCCATTTTTCATAGCATGTCACAAGTGTTTTCAATGTTTTATTTTGAACTTTCTTTCCATTGATTCTTGGAACAGAACAATACTCTCTCTCTCTCTCCTCTCTATAATAGGAAGTGAGATATGCCTAATCACATCATAATTGAGCCGAGCCAAACGTATCTCTGCTTGAATATTGGCTTGATTATCTTAGAATGTTGGTCAAACTCAGCTTGAGCTCGAGCTGTTTTAAACTGAACTTGTTCCAGCACAGCTCTTGAAATAATGATTACAACTGAGCTTAGCTTGACTTGTTACAAAATAAGCCAGCTCAAATCTCAAAGCTGAAATCTTTTTTCAAATGTAACTACAAAGGAAGTGGAACAAAAGCTGCACCATAAAAAATTGTAGCAGCCTTTGTTACTGGAGTAATAAGCAAAGAACACACAAGGAGGATATAAGATAGACATCCTATCTACCTTGACCTTTTATGTCATTTCCTTATGATACATCAACTTTCAAGAGTAAATGACACATACAAACAGTCTTTTCAAAACCACTCACGTAAACTTCTAAAATGTAAACATATAAACAACAAATTCTAGCACAAGTATTCTTTATGTCATTTCTAAAGAACATACAATGAAATAAATGTTAATTTCTTTAAACTTTTTTGGGTTAATACAAAACATGAGTATGACAAAACAATCAATTTAATATTTTGGCCAAATTGTAACTTAAAGAAAAACCAACATTAAGCAAGTAACTGCACCAAAAAAACAATCTGGTTAACTTAAAATATAAGCCCTACTCTTGTATTATCAGGTTTGAAGTAATCAGAGCATAGAAATTAGTACCTATAAACCTTCTGCCTTCACTTTAGTTTCTAAAAGTGACCATGTTTTTTATTTTTTTCCCCTCTTTTCTGGTTTTTCATCGTCACTCCTCCCTCTCTCCATTGCTCTCTATTTGTTCCTCCCATAAACAAATGTGGATCACTCAATTGCACAATCTGTATCTAATACCATGGGGATCCAACAACCTTGAACTACATATCAATTTGTGGAATAAGCAATTTTTCTAGTTATAATAAACTCATAAGCAAACCATTGGATCTTGCTTAAATCATCTTTCTCAAATAGCTAAAGGATACGTGTAAGACTCCTAATCTTGAGTTGCCACATGTCTTGTTGCTCTACTATTCCTAAGCTACATATTCCAAAGCACAATTACCAGCCCCACATTTAACCAGGTAGCACACTTATCACAATACATCCACATAGTAGATTGCACATTCAGATCGTGCAAATGGTGATGCATTGCACATTCAGATCATGCAAATGATGATGCACTTTTGTTTAAAGGAGGGGTAGTGGAGACAGAGGAACGACATTGAAAAGCTACAAAAAGGGAAAGAAATGAAAAGCATGGTCAGCAGTAAGAAAAAGAGTAGAAGCATGAACTGTGTACTTCAACAACCTAAAGTGGATACAAAAAGTTTTTGGCCACCAAAATTTAGGCTCGATTAATTCAAACCTAATAAGACAAGGTAGGGTTGGTATTTTAAATCAGTCGAATTGATTTTTGGTGTAGTAACTTACTTAAGCCAGGTTTTCTTTAAATTACAATATGTCCCAACTATTAAATCGAATGTTTTACATACTTATGTTCTGTATTAACTTTAAAAAGTTTGAAGAAATTAACATTTATTTCATTTTTTTGTTTTTATTTTTTAAACAACCAAGAGTACTTGTGCTAGAATTTTTCTTCTTTTACCATGACATTGTAATGTTCTTGTCCTAAACAAACCTAATTGTACCATGATCCAAATTAAAATATCAACTAAGCCTAGCCCAACAAATCTTGAATTCACCTAAGTGCAAACCCCCATTCCCAAATCTTGTTCCTCAACCAAACGTTCCACATTTCCAATAACTATGTTTCAAAGTTGGAATAAAACTTAGCCAGAGAATCACTTTGTTCAAAGAATCCACAAAAAAAAAAAAAAAAAATATTGATACAGCAGTAAGCTCCACTAAGATCACACGGTTTACCCCTTATCTGCCAAGTATCAAATATCTAACCCATGCACCAATTTCAAACACCAATTTCAAACTGAGAAGCACTTCATCCATATTTATACAAAGATGGAGCAAAAAAAAAAAAAAAAGACTTGAGCATTATACAAAAGAAAAATTTTTTTGACAAAATTCAAAGTGACTAAAATTTTTAAAGAATAAGAAACTAAATTTTCTAGGAGCTAATTTGTTAAATGGAAAAATCTATATTAGATTTCCAGCAAAGTAACATATGTTTTCTACATAAATCCTGTCCCTAACATTCTAACTGCATGACACTTGCAGAGATTGTATAGCAATTCTAAAGAAATATAGAATATTAAAAAAATGTATATAACTGGGAAGGCAATTACAAGGATCAGGTTAGTAGCTTGTTATATTAGTTAAAACTATATTTTGAAGAAAGATTTCACATAAACTGTATATCAAACAGGTGCATACGAGGAAGTCAATCACCAAATTCTAAGATGGTAATGTGATAAATACACCACTCAATAAACTATCCATAAACAACCAATAGCTAATTAAAGGTAGAAGTTACCAAAGGATAAACCACAAAGAGGGAGTATATACTTGTTATCTGAAACCACACATACTGCTTCATGACAGTTTAGGTAAATATCAATAGGGTATGAAAGGAAAATGAATAAATCTATGCCGCATTACTCATGTACAAAGCTCGATTAGTTTGACTTCAAATGTTAGCTAAAGATCAACTAATATACCTCATCATTTGTGCGAGAATAAAGACATCAGGATCCTTTTTCTCACTCTTAAGCATCTCCACAAGAGTTTCCATAGCCTATTGCGACCAAGGAAAAAAAAAACAAGACTACTGATAAATAAAAACAACAGACAAAATGAGTCAGCAACACTGAGTGGAATAGTAGAAATTGGTTTTCACAAAAGGCTGGTAAACCAAGATATCACTAGGGATGTGAGAAGATCCACCTGTACATTTTTAAGCTCCACAAAAGCATCAAAGGCCACATGGTATACAGTCAGTTCCTTATCCAAAAATCCTTGACGCCTATGAATATAGTCAGCAGTTGGTAAATTGTATAATTCCTCTTCAGAAACATTCATCATCACATTTTCAGCATTTACCCCTGTTGATGCTTCAACAGTTGACCAATTTTTTGACTGCTCAACAAACTCAATAATCTTCAAACAATATAAAGTTATTAGAAAAGCTTCAAAATTCTGAAAGAGTGAGAAAATGATATTCAAAACAGAGAAAATTTCATATACTTACTTTGGTGGCTACATCTTCTGATACAGGTGTCTTGTTCTTATGTGCAACTATTAGTCCTGCATAGCAGTACTTGTTCAAACCAACACCAGCGGAAGTCATATCACGAATCATTGTGTACCTGTAACATTTTAGATGATACTGAATAATTGGGTATAGGTCTTTGTGGGAAAGATAACATGATGATGCACAATGGCTCAGCATGAAGCCAACTGTTGGCTAAAGACAAGGTCCATGAGTTCAATGGAAACAGAATCTGAAATTTTATGCTGTATATTAGGCAGAATTGACAGTCATTGATTAATCAACAAACATTACAGTTAATGAATTTAAGTTGGGCAAATGCATGATTCTAATCATTTTAGCTGGCAAAGCTGCATCTTATTATGTTGGTAACCTTTCCCAGTTGTAGACTTAAGGCTACAAAGCCATAGAGAAAGACGGAAAAGGTCATTGGGTTGAGGGATTGGGCATGGTGACTAAGATGAAAAAGGAAAGATATAAATAAAGGAAGAAATAGCATACACTGGATCTAACTGACCAGCAGCAGCACATGCATTAAGTAGACAGATATAGGTTTGTCCATTTGGCTTCACTCCATAATTCTTTATCTCGTCCAAAACCTTCCAGTAAAAGAGAAAATTGGCAGAATTCAAATGCAAACAGGACTCCATCTGAGCTGGAAAAAAAAACATAGCTGTACTTTAATTGCCTGGTCAGAATTCTTGCATTTCCCATAGGTTGATATCAAAAATTTGTATAAGACAACCTATAATATCGAGAAGGAAAAAAAAACACGTTTTTTTCCTGGTAATAATTTAAAAATGGTAATAATCTTTCAAAAAAAAATAAAAAATAAAAGACATACATCAGAACCAAACCCATAGCTTTCATCTCATCTCTAAAATAGAAGGCATCTTGCAAACGCGAGCTTTTCATAGTTCCAGCAATCAAAGAATGAAAGTATCTCTACTCGGCTACACTCCGTCTAACATCATATCATCGTCAGCATCTCTCAACAGATAATTCCTAATTTCCAACAACAAAATAATATCAAATTCACATTTAATTTAACTTAATTAAAGAACACATGTAAATAAATAAATAGTAAATACTTGCGTTTAACAGTAAGAGAAGCAAAAACAGTGTTGTACTCTGATAAATTATTTGCATAGTTTTGCTTGGAGTACTGCTCTGTTGAGGCTGTTGAGGTTGCCAAGTATCGCCTACCCAAGCGACGAAGCAGTGATCTTTGAGCATCTAAATAATCAGAAATTAACGGAATAATAATCTTTTTTTTTCAGTGAAGAAGAAAGAAATGAACGAAATAAGTATGTGTGTTGAAGAAGAAATTTCATGGTTGAAGCCTGAAGGAGACGAGTCAGTACTGAGTAGTGGTGCTGTTGAGTAGGGTTTAGTTGGAGTTTTGTGGAACTAAAACCCTTTTTTGTTTTTTGTTTTTTTATTATTTTAATTTTAAATTGATTCGATATTCTTCTGTTTCGTTTCAAGCCACGGTCACCTGAATGTAATTTGGATAAAACGTTTTGTTTTGGTGACGTTCGATGAACATGGGTTGTTTGGGGGTTGTGTGGGCCTTTGGGCTTTTGTGAATAAATTAAGGCCAGATAAACAAAGCTATTCGGCTAAACTTTCCGCTATGTTTTCATGAATTCGTCAAAAAGAGTCTTTTTATTATCAATTCAGTCAAATGAATCCTTTTATTTTTTATTTCAACCAATTAAGTACAATTTGCAAATTTTAAAATTTGTCTCAACCAATTGAGTAGTCTTCTTCTGAGTCATTATTATTAGGTGTTGTTTAGTAATTAAAAATAGAGTAATGGGAATGAAAATGTAGGAATTGAAATAAAAATTAAGTAATCGAATGATATTTGTATTCCAATACTCGTGTTTGGAATACTAATAAGGAATCGGAATGTAATTTAAATTTTTTAATATCTGATTTTTTATAAAAATAAAAATAATGATTAAAAAATAATTTTCTTAAAGTATAATGGTTATAAAAATAATAAAGGTAATAGTGGTGATTGTGGTTATGATAGTGGTGACGGCGGTAATGATTTTCGGTAATGGTGGTGGTGGTGGTTATGGTTGTGATTATGATAATGATGCTGGTGGTGGTGGTGGTTGTGATAGTGATGGTTGCGGTAGTAGTGGTGATGGTGAAGATGGTGGTGATAATGATGGTGGTGGTGGTTGTGGTTGTTGTAATAGTGGTGGTGGTAAAAGTAGTCAATAGATAATAAATAAATAATATATATTATTATTTTGAAAAAAAAATCATTCTCATTCCTTGTTTTTTATTCCCACATCTTATGTAGGAATGAAGTTGTGTGTAAATTTTCATTCTCGTTCCCACTTCATTCCTTCTAATCAAACATACTACAATGTGAGAATAAAACTTTCATTCCCATTTCCACCACTCTATTTCGATTACTAAATATCACCTTAGTTTTCTTTTCATTCTCATTAAAATCATTTCTTAACCCCACTATCCCCACCCTCCTCATTAAGTAATATCTTTTTTTTATGTGACAAATTATACTTAATTAGTTGAAATAAAAAATACTAAAACTTAATTGATAAAATAATAAAAAAGGACTTTTTTATAATTGACTAAAACATTAGAGGCAAATAATGGATATGCCAAGCTATTTTTTCGTAGATTAATCACAAGAAACATCCTTCTAGTCTTTGGATTTTCATATTATGACTCATCTACCTTTTTATTCATCATGTTCCTTTATTCTTGAAATTTTTTTAATCCGACCCCTTCAATGATTTTTCAATCAAAATTGACATCTAACAAAAACTTACCTTATATCATGATGCGTCATCTTATTTTACCACGTAGAAAAAATGAAAGAACAAAAAAAAAGGCAATCATTGAAAGGAAAAAAAAAAAACAAGGTTAAAAACACAAACTCTTGTTCTCTCTCCAACTATCTCAATAAAAACCAATAGCTAACCATTTCTTTCTTTTTCTCTTCTTTTCTTCCTTCTTCTCTATTAGTGAGAGTTTCTTTTCACAAAAGATTTCAAATTCATTTTAGCTTCAATTCTTTTTCTTCTCATCTCTCTTTTACTAAAAGACTCTCTATTCATCTACTCCTCCATCCGAACTCTAAAACTCCTAAACTTGATTTTTTCATATTTATAAATCATAAATAATATGGCTTTATCATCTTCATCCGCATCATGTAGAAAATTGAGTGATGGAATAAATTCACCATCATCTACTATCATCCTAAACTCCCAATAACTATTAAAATGATTTGCAAAGTTTTATTTCTAGATGTTAGAGCTCTTTTAGTGTGCTCGAATTTATAAGGCTACTACACATGCTAAAAAAATGACTTCATTAATCTAAATTTATTGCCATGGTCATTAAAAAAAAAAAAAAAAGCAAAAAGCTAAATTCTTTTCACTCGTTTTGGATGTATGAGAGAACTATAACTATGAAGATTTCTATACTCATAGGAACAAGGAAATTTTTTATTTACCGAGGAGAAAAAAATGGAAAAAAAAATCATTTAAGTGTTGATCCTTAAAAAAAAAAGAAGAAATAAGTAGTAGTAGCTTTATATTTTATGCAATCTCAAATTTTTAATGCAACTGTTGTAGTGAAAAAAGCTCATGCTTCCCCATTAAAGTAAGTTACGTCATCAATGGTAGTTGTGGATGGTTTAATGATGGAGTAGGTCTTGAAAAGCTTAGAATGGAAAAATAGATAAATAAATTTTGATACTTGATTTTTTTTCCTTTTCTTAGTTTTCTCCTCTCTTTTCATAAGAACTAAATGGGTTCATTAGCTTTGTAATTTAGGCAATAATATGAATTTTCCTATTGAAATGTATCTTTATACTCTTTACTTAGGGCATGTATGTATAATATTTATTGTAGAAATTTTGTATTTTTTAATATTTCTACTCGATGATTAAACAAGTTGCATCTTAGTAGGTGTTTAGTTGTATTGTTGTTTTCTATATTAAAAACTAATGTTGTTGGGAGGGTATATCTTGGACATAAATTTTACTTTTTTCTAAACTAGAATACTAACTTAAAGATAAACCTTGAATTTGTTTTTTACAACTTTAATCGTTAATGTTAGTTTCCCCTAATGTTTTTGCAAAATTGAAGACTAAAATCAAGATTTTGAAGTTTTTTGCTTAATGAAAAAAAAATCCAAAAACGACTCTTATGATCCGTTCATTTAATCCTCTCCATAACAAAACGAGTTTCTTAAATGCTTTAATAAACATGTCAAGTTTATAATTGTAGTTTTTAAATGGCTTATTGTACTATAATATCACAAACTTTACATCTTTTAATCATTTTAACACGTTTTTTTAAAAAATAGATGAAAAATATATGAATTGAACTTTCGATAAATATATTAGCATGGAGGTTTTCTTCGTCCAAAATTTTGAGTTCATATGGCATGGCATGATTGGTATAATAATAGCATTGTATAAATTTCATGTAGGATTCCACGTGGATTTTTCCTCAATTCTTCCTTTTACTATATCAAAATCTTAGGAGAGAGAAACACCTTCCTCTTCACTAAATCTCTTATTTTCTTTAATCTTTTTTTATTTTAGATTTCAAAATCCTTCAAATCCCATATTTTAATTTCAAATTCTAAGTAAAGGATTATGCATCCTAAGGAAGTGCGAGAATAAAGCAAAAGTTTTCCTCCATCTAAAGGGCTCGAGATCATGTCGTTGAATCAACTAACCATATATTCATGAATTAAAACGATAAATAAAAAATTACCTCTTGTAGCATGGATTTAAACCTTTATAGAAAAGAGTCGTCCAAGCGTCTAACCTCTTTTAATAATCCACACAGATCCAAACACTACACAAGAAGCACTCAAAATTGATATAGTGCTAGCTCCATATTTTTTGACTTTATTTAGTGTTTTTGCTTTAGAAATCAAATCGGGAAACTTTACGACAACCTAAGGGAGAAAGGAAAGTGTTTATTTTTGGGAAGGGGAAAACTATTTTCTCCTTAATTTTCTACTAAGTCTGTAGGGGTGAACAAACGGTTTTTCGATTCGATTTTTAACAATTTTGGTTCGATTTTTGGTTAACCAAAGATAATAAAATGAAAACCAACTAAACCAAATTATAATTCAGTCATTAGATTTCGGTTTCAAAATAATTTGATTTTAAATTTTGGTTTTTGGGTATTAACCGAATTCATCAAATATTAATGTTTTGCAGTCGGCTCACTCTCTACCAACCAAGACTATAAGGGAGAGAAACGCAATACGCCATAGCTCATCTTCGCTCCACCCACGACCTTTTTATATACTTTCAAAAGCTTGAAACGTCGCTCACTTCGATGTAGGATTGTGAGTTAGTGAACTTAGCCATGTTCCTTTATCCCACATCGGCTAGTTAAGGTTTTGAATGGTGGTGGTTGGCTTATAAATAAAGGTCGACTTACTCCTTTTTTGTGGATTATGGCCAACGAAGTCGGCCATATTGGGCTGGAAAATTTGAGGCCTCTTATGGGTCGAGGTCCGAGTCCAAGAAGATCAACAAAAAGTCGGAGTTAATTTCATTTATAAGAAATTTTGAGTTCATTTTAATTTAAATAAAATTAAATTAGATAAAATTTTTGATTTTCGATTGACAACG